AAAAAAAAAAGGAAAGATATCTCATGTTCATGGATCAAAAGACTTAATTGTTAAGATGTCCCCAAAGCAGTCTACAGATGCAATGCAACTCCTAGCAAACTTCCTGATCCCATAATGTCCTGCTGTTCTCTGATACTATGATGGGAGCAGGGGGAAGAAGCTACCGCGGCATTTGAAAGAAGAGGCAGCAGAGAAGGAAAAGCAGGAAAATGTCAGAAGTAATAAGGAGAGTGAAAATGGTAAGAGTTGCTTAAAAGTAGCCAATGATTACCCTCGATGCCATTGTTAAGGCTGCCACTGAACTGGAAAATACAAGAGCAAGAGCTTTCTACTGCTTGAATTTGGAGTTAACCACAACAATTGTAATTAATTATCAAGCATGTAGTGTATCATTTGAGTTACTTCATTTAATCCCCAGGAAACTTCAGTATTCACATTTTGGGATTGAGAACATATATCAAATAAGCATATTAACTGGTTTAAAGTACCAAAGCAGTATACACCAACCTATATACTCGTGTGACTGTTCATCCACCAGGGGCAGACACTTTTGAGGCCTGGGGACACAGTGACAGGTGAGATCGATGTGCTCCCTGCCTGTTGCAGGTGCTGACCCACTGAAGGGGAGAGTCCTGAGCTGTCCTCTGAGGCGCTTACAGGAAGCTAGGAAATCCAAAGGACATGAGTATCCGCCTGAAATGGCTCTATCAAGCAGCTCCTGTGCAGGAACATGCCAGGGCCCAGAAGCTAAAGAGGCCTCAGGAGACCATCCACTGGGTCTTAGTTTGGGGGGAAGGGGTTTGAGGCTGTCATTATATGTCTGCTGTCACTCTTGAGAAGTCATGATGTGCAGGTTTCTGTGAGAGTGCGTGCACATGCCCCACGGGTTGGGGTACACAGAAGGGCGCCACATCCCACTGAGTGTGGAGCAGATCTAGATGCTCACACTTGCTTCTGCCTGGCTTGAATGATGTGGCTGTGATGAAGTGACACAGGGCAGAGGTTCAGGAGTAGGTGGGAGGGGAGAGGCCCACGAGAATGACCCAGTCCTCACCCTGCTGTAAGGCACATCCTGGTGGGGCCCAGATGCAGACAGCACTACCAGATGCCAAGGCTGCTAATGGACTGATGGAGGCAAAAGTCACTCCACAGATGAAGGGACCACATGGGAATCAGGCTCACCTCACATGAGAAGTTTTAAAGCCTGTTCATATTTTCTGTTCCAAACATCTTCAAACCAATAAGAATACAATATAGTACAGAGGAAAAGGGCAAAGCCTGGGACATTAGGCAGTCCTGGGGTTGAAGCCTCACTCTACCACATACCAGTGCTGAGCCTCAGTTTTCTTACATACAAAATGGGGATAGTAATACTTTAATTAAATGGACTGAGAACACAGCACACACAAGCCCTTGCTGAGAACAGCTGTCAGTTTCTGAAGCTTGTTCCTCACTGCATGCTTATGTACGTCTTTGCATAAATGTAGATAAGAGCACACACAACCAGCACATCTGGTAGCAGGTGAGTTCGATTCTGTCTCACAAAGATAGTCTCCTTATGCAAGTAGCTCATTTTAGAGCCAACTTTATCAGTCAAAGATCAAGACACCTGGATTCCCAGATGACACCTGTGCTTCCCGAAGTCCTGTAGCCTGAAGGACCGTGTACAGCAAGGTGAATCAAACCACTGCCAGGTAACTGGTAAGAACACACTCCAGGCCACAGAGGAATGTCTGCCCTCTGAGACTGTGGAGTGTGCAGACCTAGGACATCCTCTTCATTGACAGTCCAGGGGGAAACATTCCACAACCGTCACCATGGAATGTCTTCTCTACTGGGCCCAAGGACTTGCCCTTCTAAACACACAACCTCCCCCACCCTCCCTGTAAAATTCAATGACAAGCCAGAAGAAGGAAAACCATAATGAGAAAGGCAATGTGGCGAACACCCCATAACTCCCAGCACCCCTTCTGCTTGAACTCAAAGTTCAAGTCAGGTTACCCCAACACCTTCAACCTTAGCTTTCTTTTTTTTCCCTTTAAATTTTTTTTTCAACGTTTATTTATTTTTGGGACAGAGAGAGACAGAGCATGAACAGGGGAGGGGCAGAGAGAGAGGGAGACACAGAATCAGAAACAGGCTCCAGGCTCTGAGCCATCAGCCCAGAGCCTGACGCGGGGCTCGAACTCACGGACCGCAAGATCGTGACCTGGCTGAAGTCGGATGCTTAACCGACTGCACCACCCAGGCGCCCCTTTTTTTTTTCCCTTTAAAAAAATGTTAATTTTAGTTAGTTAACATACAGTGCAATATTGGTTTCAAGAGCAGAATTTAGTGATTTATCACTTACAACACCCAGTGCTCTTCACAAGTGCCCTCCTTAGTACTCATCACCCATCTAAGGGTACCCATAGTACCCTCCATTTGTTCTCAATCATTAAGAGTCTACTGTGTTTTGTTTCTCTCTCTCTCTCTCCTCTCCTTTTGCCTCTTCCAATATACTCATCTATTTTGTTTCTTAAATTCCACGTATGATGAAATCATACGGTATTTGTCTTTCTCTGATTGACTTATTTCACTTTCACTTAGCATAGTACATTCTAGCTCCATCCATGTTGTTGCATTAGGCAAGATTTCCTTCTTGGTGGCTGATTAATATTCCATTATATATATTTAAATTTATTTATTGAAATTCAAGATAGCATCGTGTAGTATTGGTTTCAGGAGTAGAACCCAGTGATTTATCACTTACATACAACACCCAGTGCTCTTCCCAACAAGTGCCCCCCTTAATGCCCATCACCATC